ACCGTTCGGTCTTCAACAATGAGAAAACCCTATACCTTATAGTCAGCTCTTACAGACCCCAACATGAAAACATTGAAACAATTAAAACGAGGAAATTAATGATCAGAGTTATACAATACAAAGTACGAACAAAACAAATATAACGGACTTGAACCAACGACAACCACTGAATCAAAGGATCTTGACTTGGAACAGGCATATACAGATTGTGGCGGTGTAAAACTTGTTTGTAAACCCTCAACCCTCCCCTTAACTTATAACAGTGATGTTATAGCACAAAATAAGAACAAACTGTAAAAATCAGTTAAAAATAGCATTACTCAATAGATCGGTACGAAGAACAGACAAACCAACTAACATAAAAACAATAGATAAAAAGTATTGATACAAGAGTACTCGTTATTACTGATAGCTAGTTCAAAGCCAGTTAAAACTAATAGATAAATCATGTTTCCCAGACTAAAGTATCAAGCAGGACAGTGTTGGATTGAACACGTACGTACATTGTGTGAGTTAAGCGGTTATGTGTATTTTTTTTTTTAAATAAAAAGATTTTTATTAAACAGAAAATACATCCAAGATGTTTCATTTATTAATAGTCTTTATGATTTTTTAGGTGGGGCTTGGTTGGTCCCAAGCCTCTCTTAAAGGAACATTTGTGGTATATTGCATTTTACTGAATTAATAGCTTGTGTCCCTAATTTTTCTTAACCCTATTTTTAAAACTCGCCACTGTAAAGTCTGAAATCATAAACTATTATTTACTGTAAAAATATTGTAGCATGAAATGATATTGAAAAGATTATGAGTCCCTGTATTCGGTTCTAATGACAGTTTTACAAAGAATCCAGTAATTTCATATATATTCTTATACTGCAAGGTTATGGTAAAATGGTTTCAGATCAGAAAATTATCATTAAATAGAAAAGTGTTAAATTTGATAAACATAGTAATATGTTTTGTTACTTATTAGGAATATACAATATTGCCCTTCGCTAAATTACAGTTACAAACTAGAAAAAGTAAGTGTTAAGCCCAAGAATGCCTTCTTTCTTATTCACTTTTTCTTTGAAAAACCCGGACCACTTGATTAAAAACCCGGACGTTTTAAGCATTGCTCTCGAGAAACAAGGACAATGTAAAACACTGAATTGTTAGTTTATTACAAGGAAATGGTGCTTTGTTTGTGCTAAAAGCATGTTTAGTATTCAGAATAAGATGAACAGTCATGAATAAAACTATTATATACGCGAAATAGCATTGAATTGATCTGGTCGCATGTAATATCACTCGAAAAAAGTGGACCGATTCACTCGAAAAAGTAAGATCTCCGCCAGACAATATAACTACTGTGCATATATTACGTTCATTGAAATAAAAACGTCACTACAGACACGGTCATAGCGAACGAGTTGTGATATAAAAACACCTTACGATGATACTAAATAAACATCACCGTCCAAAAAAGGAAAATTAACAGTAGGAAACACAAAATTGCCCCTTTTGTCGTATTGTTTTGTTTAGAGTTTCCCATATAAAACTGAAATATCTAATTCTAGGATAGGACAGTAATTAACGTGTATATCTTATTTATTTAAAGTAAGTTTCTTTGGGTAAATTTTGGCAGTATATTAAGAAAATTATTGATTATTCAATGATCGTTATGTATGCGAAATGATAGGTGGTTCTGTATTATCAAAATTGGGAGGTATAAAGTTTTGAATGGTAGAGTCATTAAATGTTCTAGATAAGCTTATATAATCAATACCTCTGTTAATATATTCAATGATTGTTAATTTTTCTCAGGATACCTGTTTTCCTTTGATTTAATTGTACTTTTCTGATTATTTAAAAGATTTTTTTTACCATCTGTACTGTTTGACCATTTTAAATGGTAATGAATACCAAGGTGCGTGTCGAAAATTATGTTAATTGCGAATCAATAGGTTATGTTTTCAAGCGATGAATTTTTTGGCACCTCGTGGTCTACTTATATACACGGAAAGAAGCATGCGTTGATTTGTCAAGTATACGCACTACAGACATAACTTATAGTAGGTTAAAATATGTTAATGTCTTAATTGGCATTTTGTCGGTTTCAATATTTCCGATTGCATTTAATTTTATACTTTCGTTTATTTCCGTTTTGAAAATTTTGAATATATCTATCTTTGTTTCTTTTTTGTTTGAAATGAAATATTCTTATATTTAGAGAACAATATAACTGTAATTAAGTTGTGTATGTCAAAATATTTTATAGCCAAAAAAATATAAATCAGATTTAAAATTACTTTCCTATCCTAGATTTAATTATATTTTTTCCATTTCACACTGGAAATTCCTAACAAAAATTTACGACAAAATAATAATTAATATTGTGTTCCCTATTGTGATTTTTTTTCTTTATTGGACAGTGATGTTCCTGTGGCATCATCATACGGTGTTTTAATATCACAACTGGTATTCTGTGCCCGTGTCTGTGGTGACATTTTATATTTCAATCAACGTTATCTATGTATTAATTGTAAATTATATAGTGAGAGATTTCGTTACCACAATTTACTTAAAACCTTTACTAAATTCTTCCATAGATACAAAGATTTGGTTTGAAAGTTTGGATGATACAGTAAAAAACTTGCTCCAAACAGGATAGCACATCCTAAAATTTACAGAGATGATTTTACCTAGCCCGGAAATTTAGATACGATCCGGGTAAACTTATCATTCCTTTGAATAAACTTATTTTCAAATGTTACCAATGCAACAATGTAATTAGATCTTTAATTATTGCTTTTATTGGTACAAGTATTGATGTTGTTATCAAATAATCAAAACTGAACTAAATATTATTGAACTATTCACATGCACATTTACAGTTCTATAATCTGTTGACACCTATATTTTGTCATTGCAAAATGTCATGTTTTTCTCTGACTGTTAATGACGTCTTTACACTAGATCCATTGGATGTTGGATGTGTACTGATTGATATTTTATTCTTAGATACATGATTTTTTATTAGTTGTTTTGTGCTTTGAAGCAGCTTTCAGTAACTGGGAGTACTCTTATATCTGTACTTGTTGTCTTTTTTGGTGTGGGGTTGTATAAATTCCCTTGGTATAAATATTGATTTTGTTATCAGTTAATTAAAATCAAACTGAATATTATTAACATATACATATGCACTTTCATGGCTTTAAAATTTGTCGATACCTGTATCTTGGCATTGCACAAGTTCATTTTATTCTCTGACTGTTAATGACGTCTCTAAACTAAAGCCATTGGATGCTGGATGTGTACTGATTGTAATTTTAGTCTTAGATGCATGGTTTTAAATTAGCTGTTATTGGATTTGAACTAGCTGTCAGTAACTGCGAGTACTCTCAGATCTGCACTTAGTGTTTTTTTTTTTTTTTTTTTGGGATGTACAAGTATCCGGGCACGTCCACTCTGTGTTTTTTTAGATGTTTTTCTGCCTTGTATCGATCTCATGAGTTAAGCCCTTTTCAACTGATTTGTATAGTTTGTTCTTATATTGTACTGTTACACCACTACTCCAGTTTAGGGGAAGTATAAGGCGTCAACAAACATGTTTAATCCCGCCACATTCTGTATGTGCCTGTCCCAAGTCAGGATGCTGTATATCATATTTGTTTTTCGTTCATTGTATTCTACAATATATATCAGGCTTTTGGTTTATCGATTGAATTGTTTTACATTTGTCATTTCGGGACCTTATATAGCTGACTATGGTATCGATTTTACGCATTGTTGAAAACCATACGGTAGTTGTAAAATTCTATGTTATTAGGTCTCTGGTGGAGAGTTGTCACATTGGCAATCATACCACATTTTATTATTTTCATATTAAACCTTACGTTTGCCAAAAAAACCTTTTCCATTTATATTTATAAAGAATCTATATTCAAAACAAAAATGCTTAAGGGGGCGATATTGCAAACTCGACATCTTTGGTGCACCTACCTATAATGTAAAGAAATTGGTTCCAATCAAACCAAATTGTCAACTGTTGTGGTTAAGCTATTTAAATGAGCAATGTAAAATTCATGAAAAATGTCTTCACGTTCCATGCAAGTTTTGTCTTCTACGAACGTTGTAATTTAAGTTGAAGGTTTGCTTGTTTGGAACCAATACATATGCTTGTAATATGATATGTGCACAAATAGGTTTTTACACATTTTGATGTTTGCTTATAATGACATAACAATTTAACCAATATAAACCATATTTGACAATGTGTTAACTAACTTGATCTAGATAAAAGATATGTTTTGGTACATAGAGCACTGCTTATATGACATTAATTTGAAGAAAAAAAACACTTTGGTTAAGAAAAAGGTTGATCTATTATCCATCAATGTACAATCTTTCTTTATAAATGCAAACTATTATACATAAAAATTTATTTGAGTTCCGTCTTTGAACCAAAAACATTGAATAACCATTAAGACCAATGTATGCAAAACATAAGGTATCAGGGTTAATAAACAATTGCATATGCATAAAGATCTATTACTTTTTCATAATAAACAATAGCTTTGTGTTATTAAACAGACAATAATTTTATATTCTTATATTATTAATTAAATATTTTTAAGGATTTGTGATTCGTTAAAAATTGATCACATGTATTTACTCAGGTTGCAGACCAATACTGTTGTGGTTTTGCTTTTCGTAGGTCAAAAAACATATTGCACAGCGCATACAGCATTTTACTAAAATACATTCTAGGAATCCCCAGTTTTACATTGTTCATGCAATAGTTGTTGATTAATAATATAACAACTGTAGCCTTTGGTCGAGGTCAATACGATGTTACATCAACCTAGGGAACCATATCGACCTCGGACTTCGTCCTCAGTCAATATGCTTCGCTTACGTCTATTTAACCTCGTATCGACTTCATACAAAGGCTATACTTGTATAATATCAGTTATATGCATTTATTTATCAAATCATACATGGTGTGTATTCTTTAGTTGAAATTATCGGAATGGCAACCAATCAACCACAGAACTTGTCAGAATGGCAGCTACATCGTGTTCTACAGAAGGTTAACCTTCTTCAGTATTATGACAACTTTATCAGAGAAGGTATAGTATACTGATTGTAAAGATTTAATGTGAAAAAGTAGTGCATATAACAGTTAGGAGATGTGATATGATTGCTAATAAGACAAATATTCACTGGAGACTACCACCATAGTTGAGTACAAAGCCTTTACGAATAAGAAATAAACATACCGTATTAAAAAAGAGAAATCTAACAACCTGATTTATATAGGAAAAGAACGAAAAGGCAAAACAAAAACCAATGACATCAACTTAATAATAGTGTCCTGCCTTTAATTCTGTACTGTTCAGAATCTTTTAAGATAATTAAGTTGAATTTTGATGTGTATAGTTAAATAACAACTACTGAATTGATTGATTGATTGTAGGTTGCTTAACATCCAGTGACAAATATTTCATGCATGTTCAGGATGAGTACAACTACTGAACAGTCTGAATATAGTCTGAAAAGATCTTAATTGGCTGCCAGCGAATTGTCTGAACCGTACTAAATGAACCGCATTTGATAAGATGACTGAATGAATGAAATATATTTAATAATTTATTTTTCATCTATTTAAGAACTGTTCAGATAAAATGACCGTTTCAGATAAACTAACTAGTGTTATATCATGAAAGGATTTGAGGTTGATCTTCAAGAGAAGTTATCACAGAAAATTAAACTTCAAGATAATCGAGCACCAAGTGGTGAAGTTGAAATAATGCCTTCAAATATTTTACGGACGGTATCACGGGTATGGAAGATATGTTTCACTAATGACGCCCATGTGTTCTAATCTAACCATAACATACACAATTTCGTCCTCCTTTTCCCCGAATGTGACCTACCGAATTAGACTTATCACCGGGTTTGTACTTACATGAACTACACCTCAGGTGCTTCGTGAGGAGCCAGATCTCCTTACCCTTCCGAAGCACCTGGGATCACCCCTGGTTTTGGGTGGTGTTCTTGTCTTCAGTTTTCTATGTTTTGTAAACTTGCTTGACTTTAGGTATTTATTTTGCTATTGCGTTGTCAGTTTATTTTCGACTTTGAGTATTGTTTGCCTCTCTTTTTAAAATGCCGTTCACCCTTTACGGACTTCTTTAACATGTGTGCTTCTTACACAACAAATGCGTTAAAAGGACAAAAGATCAGAAACGCCACTTCATACGTTTAAGGCTACCATCTCAGATTGGTTCACACAATGTATCAGTGTTTCAGCTCACTAGAGACCTGTTTTGGTGTTCTTATTTCTGTAGATACCAGTATGGTTGTAATTTAATGTGCCCTATTCCTAAATGTGATCCTTTGACTGAGTGCATATTCATATTGAGAAAGAGGCATGCATCACAGGAGACGTAAACCTAGAAATATGCAAGTGCTACTGGAATATTCCAACACAAATATGGAGTTAACAATGGTCAAAATTGAAAATTCTCTGTTTTTTTTTCAAGTACTAGTATACTAATTTTCTCTAATTCTTAACCAATTTATCCTTTTCCTGACCTGTTAAATTTTTTATTTTATCAACAAGTGGTTTTGTTTGAATGCAGTTCATCGTTGGTCAACATCCAATTATGGCGTCAAACTTTCTTGCATTCCTCAGAATTTCCTATTGTGACGTCAAGAAAAAAGGCGACCATGTCTGATGACGTTACATTTAGAAAGAAGGCATATTTTTGAAGATCATTGGAAAAGAAGGATCAAGTTGTCTGCATATTGTCTAATAATCATACAACGAACACATTCTATCTTTAAATATCGTGCAAAACGACATTTCTCCACTCTCGGCAGTTTAATCTAAATATGTTTAAAAATGTTTAACGAGCCGTGCATTTTAAATATAAAATGATAACTAGCCCGAGTGTCAAAATATTGTATCACACTCAGTGCAGTAGTAGAATCTATATATCTCAACTGAATCCACTGCAAATAAAGACAGAAGGATTCAACAAATAGGCATCACCATTTAATTCCTATTTGGGTGGGAGATGAATTGATTTTCAATTTTAAAAAGACATGAATTGTTCACATATTGTGTTGTAACATTAAACCACTACAAATGGCATTGTTTAACATTTCTTACCGATATAACATGTTTCTTTTATTATTCTTCCCTTAGTTTATTTATTTTGTATTTACATTGTGTCATAGGTCAAATTTATTTGTTCAGTGTATGTTCAATGGTGTTAATATGTCCTTTGATTGAGTTAAGCTATTTCAGTTGATATTTTATAGTGTGTCTTTCTATGTTGTGATGTTACACTATTGTTTCAGAAAAAGGGTGAAGGTTTGGTACCATTAAAACGTTTAAACCCGCTGCATTTGTTTGCACCTGTCCTAAGTCAGGAATCTGATGTTCAGTAGTTGTCGTTTGTTGATGTGGTTCAATAGTGTTTCTCGTTTCTCGTTTTTTATATAGATTAGACCGTAGGTTTTCCCGTTTGAATGGTTTTACACTAGTAATTTTTGGGGGCCCTTTATAGCTTACTGTTCGGTGTGAGCCAAGGCTCCGTGTTGAAGACCGTACTGTGACCTATAATGGTTTACTTTTATTAATTTTGACTTGGATGGAGAGTTGTCTCATTGGCACTCATACCACATCTTCTTATATCTAATTACTTTACTCATTTTGTTAAACATGATAGCCGTATTTATCTTTAACATTTAAAACATACCAAAGAGTGTATGACTACTCTTGTTTCAGGTGAATGTGATGTACTCACGCTATCAAATGCAGAAGATAAGACATTTAAAAACGTAATGGAAAAGGTTGGAATGGCCAAGAAACCGCTGCATGTTCGTAGATTCAGAAACACGCTTATTCAATGGGTTGACGATCCAGGTAAACTATTCTGAATACATATCTTTCTTTTCATCTTTTCATTATTAGTCAGTAAACATTTTTTTTTTTTTTGGAAATAATGACAGCAATGAATATTTAAAAAAAACAATGTTGAGCTTAAAGTGTAGATTTGAGAAGGAATAATTTGTTTCCTTTTTCCTTTTTATATGGTTGATTGTAAACATTATTGCACTGCTTCATTTCTAATAAAAGAGAGGCGGAAGATACTAAACGAACATTCAAACTCATGAGTCGAATACATGCTGACAACGCTATGACCAAAAGAGAAACAGCAAAACTAAACACTAAAATACGAAAAAAGACAGCAATACGAAGCCCACCACAAACAGAGGATGATAATTGGTACTCCACAAATGTTAGCATTATGCTCCACATTTGGCAGGATTTGGATAATGTAGAAATTCGACACGAAATACTAATGCCAAAAACATGTTTGCCTGTTTTTAAAACACCAAAAAAACATAAATCTCTTAAAGATTAGCTTGAGGTTTGATATAAACATCAATTCTGCTATTACATGAACGGTACGCGTTTTACTGCATCAAATGAGCACTTTACAACAGGTTTCTTGTGTGATTTTTCAGGCAAGGCAGAATTGTTTTATAACTAAATTGATCATCAACACCAGTTGTAACAAATAACTAATATAACCAAAACATCAGTTGAGTTTGCTTTTTATTTTTTGAAATTTCATAAATATGTTTTTGGAAATGATATTGCAAACTTCTTTTAAAATATAGACACATTTTTCATTCATCTCTGTAAATAATACGACAGGAAATTTTCTTCCAAAAAGAATGAATTTTAAAGTCATTATACGGGTTTCATAATCTTTCATGTGGACTGGTATTTTTCGGGTTAACATTTTGATTTGACATGTACATTTTTCAGGAAAAAATGATCATGTGCCTAGCTACATAAAGAAAGGTTGTGATGATATACTGTCTCACAGTGAGAAAAAGCCACAGGTAGAAGAAGTGTTTTTAGTTTTTGATTGCTGAACCCTCAATGTATTTTATATATATGGCCCCTAAAAACTTACATGCTATAATGAACAGCTTACAGAACCTGTTGACTGGACGTCGTTTGTTCAAGAATTGTCAGTTCAATTGACATGATTATTATACGATGACATTAATTAAATCTTATAGCTAAACAGTAGGTACAAGTAGCAATGCGTCATCGTATTTATTCATTTAATTGCTTTTTAACCATCAACGCTTTTAAGAGAACCCACACAACGCGAATAGTTTTTTTTTTACTCCCAACATCAGGTAAATGTAGGTGTCACACTAGAAAACTTCTTTTCTTCTCTGAATTAATTGAGAGTATAGGGCTCTCTTATATATTTCCGGGTTAATGATTTAACTTGTTTGATTTTTTTATTGTGAAAACGACATCTAACTTGATATTAGCCGACAGCCAGAAGGGAATATCCTAATTAAAAAACAATTTTTATTTCCTGTCGATTTTGTAAGTTCTTATAGTAAGGTCAATTACCCCATTTAAAGAAACACGTTTATACTAAAAATATAAAAAAAAAAAATTTTTATGTTTATCCGTTTAAGTTTAAATAATATATGCCTTTACTTAAACTTTTTCTTGATTTAGTACATATATTTTCTTCTTACATGTCAATAATAAAAAAATGTATGCATACATGTCTAGGACGAGATGATTTCACACTAGGAATCATTAGGCACTGAATAGATATAGAATGTAGAAATGTTTATGGAAATATTGTATGGAACGAAGTTTTCATACAAGGGAACAGTTGCCATGCCGTTTGTTTTATCAATATTCATACATTTGATAAGACTCTGTTAGCATGTATAGGATAATCTGCGGCAAAACATTGGCCCTAAAAATTAAATGCAGCTTGTGTAAACAAAACATGATACGAACAATAACTTGTCAATGGAAAGAGTGTAAACTCTATACACGCGTTGTAGGTTAACTGTTAAATTTTTCTTTAGTTTAACGTAGATCCTATCATTTTCTGTAATCGGAAGCAGATGACTTTACCGACAAATTCATAACGACTGCTTTATACTGCAATTTGTTTCAAATTCACCGTTTCAGAATCTAAAGCATTCTAGGTAATATTTTCAAAAGCGTACACCAAAACGTTATGATTGGTTTAAAACGTACTTAACAATGGAAACTCAACCAATGACGTAACGTTATTTTCGTCTTGGTGTTCGAACAATGAGATTACCCATAGTCCTTTAGATTCCAAAAACGCGAATTGCACATTGAACTTATTCTTGCAACAAGACTTAGGATTGAGAAGTTTGTCGATACCGAATTATGAATAATGAATGTTATCAAGCAAAAGGCTATTTGTTTTTTATGGAACATCTTTATATAAAAATAATGCAAGAAATCAACATTTAAATGGTAATGATATCCTACTTTAACTTTGAGAAAAACTATATATTGAAAATCACTTCATTCTCAATATAAAATGTTACTGTCTTCTTGGTGTAATGACATACTGTCGAAACCGGTTGCGTTGCTGTAAATACAGAACTCCAGGGAAAATTCAAATCGGAAAGTCCCTTATCAAATTGCAAAATCAAAATCTCAATCACATCAAACCAATGGAAAACAACTGTCATGCGAGGTTTTCCAATCCTCCCTCGGGCGGTCATCAGTTGAACCAGGCTGTTGGAATCTGTTCTACAGTCGGGAAATGGTGCTTTGGTTAATGTTTAGAGATCGTGCAACTTCATTCTTGGTTGTCCGGCTTAGTGACGAACGATTACTGTATTTGGAGTTACACGGTCTAACCTTGACATGGCAGCATGACAAATCAGTGTCAAAAATTAGGCTTTAGACTTGTACCTTTCATGTGATTAAGTTAGATATTTGAATTAATCACGAATGTCCTGTGAAAAACATTACGTCGCGGCGATATATAAGACATTATTTTTTTTCAGTGATACTGTGCAAATGTAGCAGAAAACTTAATTCAATGAACAGGAATTAAAAATTTTAAACTTTCAATGAATTAACTTGCAATTCAACTATACCTGGTTAACTGCAGGATAATAGAACTGTATAAAAAGTTGAGATCTACCTTTTGTGTGTTCATCAAAAATGTCAGAAATTCCTTATTGGCGTTATTGTCCAAAAACGACGATTTTACTAATTGTTTTGCATTGTTAATAATTTTATAGGTAATGAAAAACTTTTACAGCAAAAATTATCAGCAGGACAAGATCTATTGCCGAATTAGTTAGCCGACGCCTTTTTGAAGAGTAGAGTAGTTTACAATTACAGACAACTTTTAAGACGCTGTTCATCTAAATGCAAGCCAAAATTAAGAAATTCTTACTTTGGTAAAATTAAGAACTTGAGATATCGTGAAGACACCTGTCTATTGTAGAGAACTTTATGTTCCCCTCTCGATGTCTTTTGGTTATTTGTAGACCAAGTTCGAAAGAGGGAGGTATACTGGGTTACACCTGTTTTTCCGTATATCTGCTCCATAATATTTTCCTTGAAATTTTATGAGCTATCAATTTGATATCAAGTTCAATGCATGTAAGCATGCTAGACATCAACATTACATCCATTGCCATGGGCTTGTCAGTTTGATTTCGACCTATGAAATGGAATATTCCTTTGTTATCTTTCGTCTCTTTCTTATCCAAGTCTTGTTTACATGCATAATACTCAAAACATAATTATAATTGAGTAATAGCTAACAGTTCAACTTGTTGTTGTTTGACTGCTGTCTCAGTGACATTTTCAAAACAAATTCGTTAATTTAAATTGTCATTAATCGCATTACAAGGTATATCCGCTATTTTTATATAATAATATCTTACATCTTTTTATGAAATTCAAATTCGAAATTTATGTTCATTTGTACATCAATTTATATTAAACCCACTTTTTCAATGTTCCAAACATAAGTAGACCTAGATTGTAAACATATGTCAAATTGATTGGCAGGATTAGTCTATCAACTATCAAATTTTCAGGAAAATGGACAGTAAATTTCCCACTTTAAAAACTATAATAGATAAATAGAACTTTGAAATAGCACAAATTACCCACAATAACACGATCTACAAATAACTCAACATCTCCGAAATCGTCAATTGATTCCTTATCTATAGGCGTAACTACACTTGAGAGACTTGTTTTACTATTTTTGGGCTTTTTGCAGAAACTATGGTAGATAGAGAGAACATGTATATTTTTTGCTTAAATGTTCAACAAAATAAGATTTGCAAATATATCTATAATCTTGGGGTTGTTGCCTTTCAATGTCCATTCTTATAGCTTGATATTGATTTTTTTTTTGCAGTAAATAGAAAAAAATAGTCAACACAAAAAGATCTGAAAATTAGTCAATATGGCCGAAATTGTCAACAAATTATTTATAGAAGATAATGGCAATGAATGAAGATCTTTGACCTTTTTTCATGTTATACATGTTATTGAAAAAAATAATAATGGATACATGTATAACTTTTCAAAGAGAAAATAAAATAATTGTGAAAATAACAAGAATATAAACTTTTGAAGGAGTAATTGCACTTGAATGAAATTTTTTACACAATTATGATGTTTTTGCAGAAGTTATAATAGATTGATAGAAACTATAAACAGCAAAAATAAATTGTCGTGCTTGATAACAGTATGATTTCAAAGATAATTCTTCTGTGAAATTTATATTCTACTGATTTGATCACAGAAGATATTTAAAAACAAATAATTTAACGATTTTTTTTAAAATTAAGTGTTCTCTTCAGTGCATTCGTAGTGAGTATACTTTGACTAAATGTTTGCTTAAACTTTGCTTGGGTTATATTTCATAATATACAAATGATTAGGCTATAACTATCCCATAAGAAATAGTACCACACACAGGACTGCACTTAGAGAACATTTCAATGGTTCAGGTTTCATGCTTCAATAATCTATATGCAGCAACCTTTTAAGATGAAATGATTTTTATTAGTAATTCTATGAGTGCTTTATCTAATAATCATATGCCTTTCTTTATTGAAATAAGTTTAAATGAAACAGTCAAAATTATTCTTGACTGAATCTTAAATCTGTTTCTAAAATTGATGTTAAATTTCAATAGGATTTAGGCAATGTACTTGCTACACATGGTGTCCATATCCCATTTCTTCAAAGATATGTGTGTTTGCATAGACAGGACATAGTCACATCAAATAGTTTTCAAGGATTTCCTAAATATCAAAAACATTGAGAAATTACCTATGTGAATGATATTCAAGAGAATGTGTTTAGCTGATCAAAAACGTCATTTTTTAGGAATTAATTTTCGTCACCCTATAACACTGTAATCATAACAACGGTATAAATTTGTACTTTTGTGCAGCGGCAGTGTTCCTTTTCTGCATTACTAAACTGCCAACAGCTTCTCCATCTAGGACAACAAAATGAAGTTCATGATGTGTCCCAGCCAAATGCCATTATAACAAAATTTTATGTAGTTGCGAAAGGAGTTCAATTCATTCTGACATTATTAAGTCCAGGCGGTGTGTGCATCTTGCTATCGCTCTACCACGTTCATTCTTGACAGTTTATGACAAAATTTTTACACAAGCTATATATATTGACAATACTTCCGTCAAGATCAAAAACTGTATTTTATTTTCGGTTTACACGAGAAATATCTATTGAAAATGTAAACAAGGAGTGAAAATTATCTTGTAAGCGCTTCTGTTTTGACTCTTATACAGATACGATTCAGATCTATAAACATCCATAATTATTGATTAATCAAAATATAGCAATTCGGCTCATGCTTCTATTATGTCTTCTACGATTCTAAATAGGTTTTTTTTTAAGAAAATTTTCGGTTGTCAAAATGATGAAGTATGGCAGATGGGCAGGCGACTTCTCATAGTTTACGTGCAATAAGGTATGGGCCGATCAACGAATGCTTTTCAAATTTCAATGTGTTGTTATTGATGATTTACATGATGAAAGGGAGGTCAGGTTTGATATTGAGGAATTATTACTTTTACCACTCAGGAGTTATGGTCCTTGGTCGATAGAAAAATGGCGCGATATGTCTTCCCCGTGCAAATATTTATGAACCGTTTAACCAATGAGTGTCAAATAGTAATATGTTGTTACTGATGACAAAAAGGAGGTTTTAATATCGATGATTTTCATGTCTGCTGTCCAGGAATTATGGTCCGTATAGATTAAAGCACACCTCATGTTGTTATCGATAATTTATGAACTGTTCAGGTAAGGTTTTTCAAATTTGAATATTATGTTGACTATTTTCAATATTACCTATCAGAGCACATGGTCTTTGATAATTGATATTTATTTATAAATCGTGGCAGGTCAAACAAGCCTGAAAGCACCAAAAATAATACATCAGTTAAATTCATACAAGCTGCCTTCGTATGTTGAACAATTGTTACCTTCCAAATTTAGAAAACACGGTTTTGTATCAACTTGATAGCTAATTTGTTGTTAGATAATGTAATACTGTTATCTTCTTGTTCTTGTCAGAAACAACATGGCCATAAAAGCAAAATATTACTGGAAATTATTGTTAATTCTTGCAATAAATACTTTTGGTTGCTATCAGAAATATAATATAGTAATTTCTATTCTATCCTAAAAAAAAATCCAGTCAGTGAAAATGAGCAGGACTTGTGTGTGTTTAATCCTACTGGACTTCTCTCATATGTTTTATTATATAAGTTAGATTAATGCAAAGTTCGAAAATAAAAGGTCTAATATTTGGTTTCTTTTGACAGAATGCTAATCGACCAATTCCAAAAAAAAGATCTACTATTATGGGTTAAACAAATAATGTAAGAATAATGATGTGTGTTATTTGAAACAGATAAATTAATGATAAGTACCTTTCATGAATATTCATAACATATGTTATACTCTTTTGAGGTTCATCAAAAGGAATTTACAAATATGTCCGTGTTCACATTACAAAAATTACTCACAGTACAGCACTTTGAAGGCATACGTAAAATAAAAGTGTTATGCATTTTATGTTTCAAAAAATAAAATAGAAAGAAATTACCTGAATTTTGATGTGCATTTTCTTCCAGTCTGTTGAAAATGGCAAAAACACCTTAGTTTCATTTGATGCTGTCAATTCAGTTACACAGTCTAAATCACATATCACATATTGTTGTGTGAATATCTAGTGTCCTACTTTTGTCCGGGTAAATGAACACAGTTCACAAATTAAATATTAGAGTTGCCTCCCAAACGTCTTTCCCATCCTAGTTTATTTAGCCACCATCTGAAACAATGAACAAAAATGGTGATGAAGATACGGCCATATTTTCTAAACGGTTATGATGAACTGTAAGTCTGTAATAAATAGGCCACAACACAATATCATTAGATGAATCAATAATTTATCTATAATAATGAAGATAGAATCACTTAGCGATTATTGATGTGAAAAGGGTTTACTTGTTTACTGACTAGTATACTGATAATTGAATGATAACATCTTTCAGGAATCCCAGAATATTCCAACAGGAACAAGTACAGTATCAACTTCAAGATTGGGAAGAATTGCTAACACCATTGGATTTTTGGTATGTAGCCAAACAGGATGCAGATTACAAATCGATTTGAAAAGTAAACCGAAACTCTTTCAGATAAATGGCCATATGATAAATATAAATATTAATCCTTAATCCATTTTATGTTCGTCTGACCCTAATGGTGGTTTATCTATTTGAAAATCTTTCAACCATGGTTTACATGGTTCGTTGTATTTCAATCCTCAATTTTTGCACAGAAACAATTGGAAGAAACAATGTCTATAGTATTTTAGAACAAGTTCCAAATACTTTGAAATTCGTTTTTAATCTTGTCTACAGGATGACTTAACCAACAAGTGATGTATCTACGATTGCTGACAGTTTCACATATCACATATTTTTGTGCGGATATCTATTGTCCATCTTTTCTCCATGTAAATTTAATACAGTTCACAAAAATTATATATGAGAGTGGGTGGACAGGAGTAGGTAACATGGGAATGAGGGGCGGGAATCGGGGGAGGAAAGCAGGAGTCAGGTGGCGGGAACAGGAGGAAGAGGGACGGTAAGAATAAGGATATTCGAGGAAATTTGTTCCTTAACTGATTTTCATCTCGTCTGGGAGTAATGGGAGGAAAGTGGGAGTAAGGGAGGGATTTTGGAGTAGTGGGTGAGGAAAGTGGAATTCAGAGACCTCCTTCTACACCCCATCATATGGGGGAGCTCCTCAAAACTACTCCCCATCTTAATTTATTTTTGCACCATTTGAAAAAAAGTAAAAAAATTAATAGCAAAATTGGTGATGTATATACGGCCATATTTTCCAAACAGTTATTATGAACCTTAAGATACCGTAAGTCTGTAATATATATGACAAACTACAATCGCATCAGATGAATCAATAACTTATCTATTATAATGAAGATAGGATCGCTAAGCAGTTATTGAGAGAGAAAAAGATGCCCTTATTTAATGGCTAGTATACTGATAATTGAATGATAATTTATGTCTTTCAGGAATCCCAGAATATTCCAGCAGGTACACGTACAGTATTAACTTCAAGTGGAGAAAGGAGTGCTAGCACTGTTGGAAATTTGGTATGTAGCCAATCAGAATGCAGATTACAAATCGATTTGAAAAGTAAACCAAAACTCTTTCAGTTAACTGGCCAATTGATAAATATAGATAGTTAAACCATTTTATGTTCGCCTGACCATAATGGTGATTTGTCTATTTGACATATCTGTCAACCATGGTTTACATAGTTCTTTGTGTTTCAATCCTAAATTGTTGCACAGAAACAATCGGCAGAAACAATGTCTATAGTTTTTCAGAACCAGTTCCAGTTCAACCAGACCTATTGTGTCTGTTTGTTTTGTTCACGCATCGTTGTCAATATAATGGAATTTGATGCGACTGTCATACAAGTGAGAGGTTTAGCTAGCTATAAAACCAGGTTCAATCCACCATTTTCTACTTAAAAAAATGACTGTACCAAGTCAGGAATAAGACACAGTTGTTATCCATTCGTTTCAACTTTTGATTTTGCCATTTGATTGGGGACTTTCCTTTTTGAATTTTCCTCGAAGTTCAGTATTTTTGTGATTCTACTTTTTCCAAATAGTTTGAAACTTGTTTACAAACTTGTCTACTGTGTGACTTAACCAACTAGTGATTTATCTGCGTTTGCTGACAGTTACACAGTTAAAATCACATATCACATATTTTTGTGCGGATATCTATTGTCTCTCTATTGTCCATGTAAACCAATACAGTTCACAGCATATTCGAGGGGAGCTTCCCTTAAATCATTCCCAATTTTATTATTTATTTTGGCACCATCTGAAACAACGAAAAAATAATGATTAGCAAAATTAGTGATGTAAATACGGCTATATTTTTTAAACAGTTACGATGAACCTTTTGATACTGTAATCCTGTAATCCGGTTTTGCAATTATTTTTTCCAATACTCTTTTTTTTCTATTTTCACAGGAAAGGCATTTTCGTGTCATCCAATGGGTAGGCAGACGCACTCTCTTTTGTTTTGTCTTTTTTTTTTAGAACCAGCTCATAATTGTTTAAAAGTTGTTTCTAATTATGTCAAATGGTTGACTTAGCCTATAAGTGATGCATCTGCGAAGTGATATACAAATACTGAAGCCATTACGACAATTAAAAATTAGACTGTGTGTGTAAAAGAAGGAAAACAGGTGTTTCTTTGACTGATCAAAAACATGACAAACCGTGTGCTCATTTTTGGTACCTAATAAAGATATCAGAGATGATTGTACTCCTAGCTTGAATCTCATTTACGTATAATTTATGTCCTTGATTTTTTAATGAACTTTGCTTTTTGGTCAAAGGATTTTCGTAAATATAACAAATTAAGAAATGCGATAGAAATAACACTGGATAAAAAGACAATAAGGTGGACAAACATATAAAGATGTAACCGACTGCAAAAAAAGATAAAAACGTTATAACAAAAATACCGAAATCAAAGATACATTCAAAAAGGAGAGTCTATTAAAACTGACACACTCACGAAAAAAACAGACAAACTCTTGATTACGGATGTAGTTAGGTGAAATTAAAAAAATCTAAATTTCAAAATTCATACTTTGTCAGAAGAGCATTATTTAAGGAACAAAATAAGCTAAAAGTATTGATAGGCTATGGAACTCCTTTTTGAGGTGTTTGATTTTTTTTAAAATGACGGAAAAAGGCTGACTCGAAGTTTTACCTTATATTTAGCATTGGCATTATTTAGGTCTCAAATCTTAAGAAAAAAATCTCGAATCTGCTTAAATTATGGTAATAATCTTTTTATGAGCTGTTAAAGTCTTCTATGAAAAGAAAAATAGTTGATATGGGGCTAAAAACCTGTATCGTAGGAAAAAACCCATGGAATCTGAACATCTGACAAAAATTCATAAACTTTACCTGACAATATCCTTAAACAACCAACGATATGGTTTTAAAAACAAACTGAGTAAAAGAGAAAATGTTAATAATGCAGGACATTACAACAACCAGCACCCACTACAACACACTCCCTATTTACATAAACAACAAAAGAAAGACAATGCACAACAGGAAGTTTGATTTTGTCAAACACATATTGTAGTTTTCTGTGCCTGAAAATGAAACTTCTATTCTGTATTGTTATGTATATTAAAGTAATTAAGACACTTCTTTATTTAGCATCAGTCTTATTTTATTCGGATCAAAAGCATGCATTGTTAAGCCATAAATATAGTTCATATAATACATAATAAAGCATTTACAGGAATACATATCCACATGTTAACTAAATGAAAATATAACATATCAAATACAAATTGAAACCCAGAAATGTCTCTCAGCGGCAACACAAACAAATTTTACCCTATTCAAATAATCTGGGAAGACCACTGCTGACATTAAATACTTTCTTAATAGTTTTCAATTACATGATTTTACAAACAGTACTTTTTTTTATAACCAGACACCTGACAGTGAACAAAGATAGATCATAAATTAATGCATGGTGTAAAACATTTATATGTACTTAAATTGCTCAAAATCTATGTGTAAGAAATACTATGCCATAGAACTAGTTTCATATTCCTCATTCCTATTAAATTTTCAGACAAAGAATGTTTTTCTTTGATTTATACTAAAAAATAGATCAATTCTGTAGGAACAAGAAAATAATGAGTCAACACAGTCAAGAAATAGTGGTAGGACTACAGAAACACCCCAGGTACTTGTACATGGTTAATAGATTATATCTCATGTTGTCGACTTTTGACTACGGATTTATTTTTCGACTCGTTATATAGTCTATGGTAGGACATTCTGGTACTCACTCAAGTGATAGCAACTAAAAGAACTAAAATCCATTCTATAATCGGAGCATATTGAAAAAAAAATAACTGTTTTCTGATGTTTTTGTCCAGTAAAAAAACATTAAACCAACTGTAAATTTCATTTTACTTCTTTTACTTGCTTTTACTTTACCAAGTACCAGAATGTCCTACCACAGAGTAGGTAAACTGGTAAAATAATATGAACTCCGGAGTCAAAAGTCGGTTATAAAGAACATCCCATGCATTGATCTCATTAGGTTGATTTGATGAGTATTTTTGTTTCAAACTGTTCATTGTCAAAATTAATATAGATTTAGATCTTTTTTTAACATAAAATTCAAGTAAGTCGTATATTAATGTACATTGAGATTTTGGTATTGAATATATACAAGGTGAATGAAGTGAAGGTTTGCAGCAAATCTGACCTAGCAATAAACTACGTTACATAAGAGATTAACATAATGATAAGACTCTTTTGGTTCATGTGCTTTTGGACTAGAATTTTAGTTTATTTTCAACTTATGAGTTTGAATGTCCCTTTTGTATCTTTCGCCTCTCTTTTACAGGAAATTTTTGAAACTTTCAGAAGATTTCAACCAAATAGTGGAAGGATTAATGTAAGATAGTTTGACGTGATAGACTCTTTATGTTCTGCATTGAAACTAAATGAAATGATCATGTGGGAAAACTGTTAACTCTATACTGTAATATTCTCCACTGAAATACTCTCCACTATAATGATATCCACTGTAATACTCTACACTGTAACAGTGTCTACTAAAATAATTTCCACTGACACAGTTTCCACTGTAATACTTTCCACTGTAATCCAATGTTATACTCTCTATTGTAACCGTCTTAACTGTAATAGTCCACACTTTAATAATCTGTATTGTGATCCATTGTAATACTCTCCACTGAAATATTGCCCGCTGTAATAGTGCCCACTGCCAAACTCTCGATTAAACTATTTTCCACTGTAACTGTCTTAACTGTAATAGTCTCCATTTTAAAACTCTCCACTCAAATGCTTTCAACTGTAATCCTGTGTACTTCTCTCCTTTGAAATATTGTCCAATGTAATATTGTCTACGGTAAAAGTGTCCACAGAACTTCTCTCCAATATAGTGGTATACAATGGAATACCCTCCACTGAAATGATGTCCGTTGTTATATTGTCCACTGTAATTATGTCCACTAATATACTCTCCACTGTAATATTGTACACTGAAATACTTTAGTATTTGTATACCCCATCTCGAAGAGGGTTTGTTGCTCGTGCTGTTTGGATGCAGTAGAATGTGTCCCCGTGCTTGTGGTGTATGCCCTTATATTTTTCAATTATGGGTTGTTTGCCTGTGGGAGAGCTTTCACATGTTTATTATATCTTTGTTCTTAATTGTTAATTATATATTATGGTGTTTAAGTGTATAAATACTCATCCACGCCTGCTATTTTATAAATTTTGACTTGGATGGAGAGTTGTCTCATTGGCACTCATACCACATCTTCTTATATCTTTAAACATAGGAATGTACATGTATAAATAAAAAGAATAAGAAGATTAATTGATTGATGATTGCTTTACGCCGCATAAAAGGCCTCGAAATGACAAATGCAAAAAAAAAAACCAAACGAGAAAAATAACGGCCTAATTTATGTACAAAATAATGAACGAAAAACAAATATGTTACACAGCAACAAACGACAACCACTGCATTACAGGCTCTTGACTTGGGACAGGCACATGCAGAATGTGGGAGGCTATAAACTTGTTCAAAGGCGCCAAATCTGGAGCAGGTATCTGTGATCACAAAATCCCCTAATTCTTGTTTTATTTCATTCCTGGTTGCAAGTTGAAATCTTTCTGTTTTTGAGAGGTGAATACTTAGTGGATCCATTTTTCTGTTGGCGATATCCGTATCTAAAATAAGCGATAATTCATTTATGCAGAGACAGATTGTAGGTGTTCATATAGTTTGATTTTTTGTTGTTTCGACTTTTTTTACTTTTGCTGTGCTTTTTGTTTTGTATTTTTTGTTTTGTATTTTCTTTTTGTTTTACAATACAATATAAAAGTACGAAGATATGGTATAATTTCCAATGAGACAACTTTCCACCAGAGAACAAATGACGTAGAGGTTAATAATGCATACATTGTTCAAAGTATAAGAATGGTTTTTAAGAAAATAATGCCACGGGCTAATTTAGAATGACCTTAGAATAAAAGAGTCATATTTTACATTTCAATCTGTTCTACGTCATAAAAAGTAAAATAACAAAGATATCGAACTCCAAGGAAAATTCAAAATCGAAAGTCCTTTATCAAATGGCAAAATCAAAAGCTCAAACAAATCAAACGAATGGAAAACAACTGTCATATTCCTTACTTGGTACAGGCATGTCCTTAAGAAGAAAATGGTGGTTAAAACTGGGTTTAACATGACATAGACTATTAAAATGTATAAAGTTTTTGTTAGTGGTTAACAATGGAGAAAAGTATATAAACATAAATTCGCAAACTTCATGCAGTCTTACGATACAGATGTGACATATTTTGTTAGTTTGTTATTTTGTTTTCACATTAATAAAATTTGTCAATTCTGTGACCTCAAAAAGATGCACATTTCAAAAACAATCTATTATTGAAAGGAAGTAATATATATCTACTTAATGATATAATATTGTTTGTATTTTAAACAATCCACAATTTGATAAACTGATTTACCAGTTTGCCAGCATTTATCTATAAAAGAGAACAAAGTATCCACAAATCATCTAGAAAGGCCATTTAAGCTCATCTGAACTTAAGGTTCGTGTGACCTTTTGTCATCTCTTATAGTTAATTGTTAGTAATAAGAGAGATACATACAATTATTTTAGTTTAAAATAATTATTAGATTTTGCCATTGAATACTTGTAATCGCTCTCCTTGTAATAGGATCAGGTCGCTGTAGGATATCGGACTGGTGACTCACAAATAATGCCATCAAGAAAATCAGCATCACTCAGGTCAGAGCAATTGGAAACCCTTAGTTCAGTACTGTCTTCACATTCAACAGCCAGTTCTCATAAAGATATTATGGATATAACAAGGTATTATTGACTTGACAGGCTCGTTCTGTCCCATTATGGTGTGGTAGGAGGTTTGCGACTTGTATAAAAGTCACACTCTGTTGATAATCATTGCTACTTTTGCAGCATTGCACAAAGTGTATATTTTTGTAATCATCTCATCCCCAGCCCAGTAGTTAGCATTTCTGTGTTGACATGAATTATCATTGATATGGTCATAATTATAAATTAACTGTTTACAAAACTTCGAATTTTTGAAATACTAAGGCTTTTCTACCTCATGAATAGTTTCCTTAGTTAGCTGTATTTGATTCGTCGTTTGTAGACGAAACGCGCGTCTGGCGCAAATACAAAATTTCAATCCTTGTATATATGATGAGTTTATTTTCTAGGGGTTTTAACCCAGATTTTTGAAACTTTGCAGAATGGTTACACATGTTACAGACATAAAGATGTTCATGAAAAAATATGGAGGGGATGGAATTTTCGCATTATTGTCTATTGAAATATTTATAAATGATACAGCATTAAAAAGAACAATTTTGAATCAAATGTTTTGGCATTAAAATTTGTTTTAGAGCCATAAAGGATAAATGTCTTTTTCTCTAATTTTCTCGCCGGTGTTTTTACTCTATTCATTATGAGTGATATCCATTAAACAAGGTAACCAAATGATTCTTTGACCCATGTTTACAACAGTGGTCGTTTAATGGTATAGTGGTGTTTTGTTTGTAAACTTGCAATTAAGGTCTCTTATTTGAATTTCCTAATCCTTATTAATTATATTTCAATATAATATTGCTACAGGCAAAATGAAGACGTTATGTTTGTTATTGGGATTAAAAATAACCAACTGTATTTTGTCCATGTTTATTAGTGTAACAAAGAAATTACTGCCGTTAAGTGGTGATGGTTTTTGTCAAATTAAAGCCCTCACTGAGTATATAAATTAGGCTTATAAAAACAAAACAGTTAAACATCCACTGGAACAACTGGACCAATAGACTATTTTCATATATAACGACTTTTGATTCCGGAGTTTATATTTTTTCGACAGGTTACCTTCTCTGTGGTTGTACATCCTGGTACTCGGTCAAATAAGAGCAACTTAAAGAAGTAAAATCAAGCTTACAATCGGTACAATTTAGGGGGAAATCTACTGTTTTATGTTTTCTACATACGACAAAATCATAGGAAAACAGTAAACTTTCCCCCCAAATTGCACCGATTATATGTTTTACTTCTTTGGGGCTCTTACTTGACCGAGTACTAGGATGTTCTACCTCATATAAGGTTACCTGTCGAAAAATTATATAATCCGGAGTCAAAAGTCGGTAATATGGAAATAGTCTATACAAACTAAATTTACATGGAAGGTCTTTGTGTAGTTTTATTAATAAACATGGTGACCCCAACCTCCACCAAATATGGTAGCCAGAAGTAACCTTTCTCAAACATAATTTACAAATATACAAAGTTCTACTCTATATAATAAGATTACAAAACTATACTTGTATTTATCTTCTATTTCAGAGAACTACATGGAAATGATACCAATACTAATACATTGAATGACTTTTTACCAGAGATAGAACCATTTGGGGATGTTGGGTAATATTTCATTGCTTGATTATTTACCAAAATGTTGTTACTATATATTAATTAATTTAAAAATGTAAAACTCCTACAAAATCTTTCTGCGTGTGTTGTTTTTTTTTTTTATATACCAACGTTATAAATAGCTAATTAAAAGCATATTTTATTTCTCAGATAATTTATGCCGAATGGGAAAAGAAATTTTATTAAAAACTGCATTGTCAACGATCTCACGCCTTCATTTCTTGTAGGATATTTATGAAATTTGTAAAAGATCAATAAAAAAAAAAAACTTTCGAGTTATTTTCTTAAACATAAAATATGTGCATCGGCAAGAGGTTTTAGAACACTGTTGTATAATTTTGAATTGGATCACTCTGTATTATTTCTTTACATAGACAAAATTATTATGTTGATGCATTGAAAGATGTGTTGAAACACTATCGTAAATTGACCATAAAGCCAATTTCGGAGGAAGATGCGTTGCTGATGGAGGTGCGAAGGGGTAATGTGCTGTTAGATGCCATTGCAATGATAAGAATCTCAGAAGATGATCTGCATAACCCTTTGAGTATAAAGTTTAGTGACGAAGAAGGTGAAGACTGCGGTGGGCTAAGAAGAGAATTTTGGAGTCTCCTTTTGTATAACATTACACACTCATGTTATGTAACAGGTAATTTTAATGTTTTTAATGTATGTGCAGATTTATCATGTCTGATGTTTTTAATTCCTTTGTATAAAACAACACTGACAGATATCTAAAAGTTTTAATAATATTAACGGTACAATTTTTACTGTACCAAATGCACATCTCTTCGTTGTATACTTGTGGACAAAATAATATAAAATGATAACTTTTGGTTAGAATGATAGCAAATTACAGAGTTAGCTCCTCTCAATTGGAACTTTCTAGTGCATTTCAACCAAATTATATCTTGAATTACCAGAACCGGAAAAGGAAACGAACGTTGTATTCGTGCACCATAATACATCATGAACTTAAATTAATGTAAACTTGAGTGGGTTTTTACACGGTACAAATTTTACTGCACCAAATGCGAATTTCGACAATAAATGTCTCTTCGATATACTCCTGGCCAAAATATTTGAAAATCCAAAACTTATTCAAAAATTGAAGAGCTTATATAAAAAAAAAAGTATAGGCAAAGCCGGGCAGGGAATCAAGCCTTTGCATGAGGGCAATATCTTCCATTAAAAAAAAAAATCTAAAATTTTGTTACAGCAAATTTCAATAACACAGTATCCATATTTATATTTCCATGTCACGTGATACCTTTGGGGACTAACAGCCCAACAGCAGAGGTATCGGCCCTGTGGTTGCAACTATATTAACGGTATTAAAGATGTTTACTGATGTTTTTTTACGTGTTTTGTCAGCTTTTCGGAACCCTCTGAATTTATCGATGTAGTACCATTAAAACTTTTGTCCGTTTACCCTTGCATTTCTTTTCATTATTTTATTACATTTAGTTTAAAATGTCATTTTTTCGAAAATATGATAAGGAACTTCATAGTTTTTGAATGGAAAAATGATGGCAATGTTTAATGAATGAAAAAGCTAGAGAGAATCATTTCCAGCCAATTTTTCCATGGCTTATGTATCAATAACAAGGCCACGGACGTTTTATTTTTTTTAATGACTTTTTTTGTTCAATTATGATGGTTATTCATATACTATCAATTTATAGCAGTCTCTTAAAAATCTTGTTATTTTGAAACAGAGCAGCAAACATCCTTAATAAATGAAAACAACACGTTATAAATTTCATGCGTTTGAAGCGCATTTCTGGATTTATCTTCATCAGGAACGCTCAAAGCCGAATATTTTAAAGCCAAGGATGTATAAGGATCAAGAAACTTATCATACCCAAACAACTGAACTGAAAAATGTGAACCGTGAAGGATAGTTTGCTGATTTGAAGATTTATTCAACAATTTGCTAAACACAATTATGTACACTCATTGAAATAATCTATGACACTTGATCATAAACAGAATATGTGCATCTATGATTAGCTTGATATTTGCTATTGTTCTTAAATGTCATTTTATCTTTTCCTCATAAATGTCTTATATCACGCTACACTCTTGCCGATATTTGAATCATTGACGTTTTCATTGCTGTATGACATCACATTATGAATGACGTTACTGGTGATGCCTTAGGAAATTTATTATTAAATTACTAAAAACTTATAGTATTTCTGTACTTGCTTTTGTTACAGCACATTTTAGAGAGCTGAGATACTTTATTTGTCTTATTGCATGTGCACAGAATGTTTAACCCTATTTGGATGCTCTTTCAGAAAAAAAAAACATATATTTTGTTGTGAATCATTCTCCAGAAACGGGTTTTACTCCTTGTATAAATCAGAGAAGGAGACTAAAAAATGTGTTGCTGTTCTAAAAAAATATTGATATACTCAATATAGAACAAGACTGATATATATTCATCCTTTTCAGGAAAACCTGGTAGACAAACCTTTCAAAAAAATTTCATAGAAAGAAAAAAGAACACTTTTCTTCACCTTGGTCAGTTGATTGCTTTATCAATCCTTCAAGATGGTCCTGGTCTACCAATCTTTTCCGATATTGTCACAGATTACATAATGACTGGAAAGACGAGTGTGTTAAATATTGATGATCTCCCTGATGGACTTAAAGACACACTGGAGAAGGTTTATAACTTTAAAATAATGTCTGTTCAAATAATTTTGTTTTCCTAGTCGTTGCCATATCATAAAAATGGAATGTTCCATAACAATATCTCCATTATGATCTTCTTCAAAAAAGTGATCATACTACATGTACTATGATCATCTTAAAAGTCAACTTTTGAATCAGTTGTCACAATTTTTTGTTGATCTTTTCCTGTATCTCTTCCATTTTAGTTAGATGCACTAATAGGTTAACAAAATCAATTCAGTTAACAATCTAAAGTTATTTGAACTAGTATAAATTGCATGCACTTGCAATTATTTTTTTCTGGTCATATACGATGAATTGTATGGGACTGTTGGTGTCACCATTATCTATAGACAGTTTAGTTTCTATGCAAAACCAGTTCTAGTAAACGAGTTCTTTTCAGATAACTATGCGGTATGGGCTTTGCTCATTGTTGAAGGCCGTATGGTGACCTATAGTTGTTAATTTCAGTGTCATTTGGTCTCTTGTAGAGAGTTGTTTCATTGGCAATCATACTACATCGCCTTATTTTTATATTAAGTGGTTTTGCACTGACCATTTGTTAAAACATTCCCCTTAAAAACATATGATTGGTAAAATAAAAACATAAAAGCGCTGTTCATTTGCTTTCATTGCTTTTAATGTGTTTTTTTTTTTTTTTTTTTTTTTTTTTTTTAAGCTGTACATGAACTGATTTTGTGTCATGGATGGATACCCCATATCCTTTGTTTTTCTATTAGACTGAATGCAAGTATGAAATTATTATGTTTCACAAGGGAATTTTTACTATTTTGTTAAACATGTTAAAGTTTATACAATTACACAATTGACCCATAAAAATTTATGTTTTCTGCCATTTAGGATGGTCACCTCTGAAGTTCCAATAATCATATTGTAAATCTTGTATTTTTTTCAAAATTAGAATAATAAGAACATGAGTGTTCACTTATTTGTAAGATAAGGTCAGCTGAAATAACGTTTTTGGATGGACAACTTCCTCTCTTGATTTTAAGTCGGCAATATATTGGGAAAATTGAATTTGAAATTGTTCAAAAAGTGTAAAAGGAATTAATATGTGTCTAAATGGAAAGAACTAAAGGGGTAACTGTCATTTTTAACGAAGGTATTAGTCAAAAGTAAGATAAATGTCCTCAGCTAATATAGTGAGGGGAGTCATTATTTTCATTATTAATATTGTCACATGAAAGAAGTTTCTTGCGATTATAATGTGAAAGAAATTATTGAACCAAAGTATGAGTGTATAAATTTAGTTTGTGCAGGTTTCTTACCTTTATTACTAGTTGATAATGTATAATCAACAAAATATATTTTTATTCAGTTATTGTTAATCGATATACTCTGGCTTTTTAAGATTCACAATTGAAATTGGTTAGTACAATTTTTAAATGTTTTTTTTTTTTGTATCAAATACTTTATTCCGAATTCGTTAATACTGTATCTTCTTTCCGTGTTTGTTTCCGTTTTAGTCCATCAGGATTTTTCCTTCGCAATTGCTCTGTTCAATTGTTGTATTTCTAGCGAGGCGTCATAATTAAGATCAATACATGCTGTAAAGCTGTCGATTAATTACATTACGGAACAACAATAATTCAATAGCAGTACATTTCTGAAAATTTTGACAAATACAGGATGTTTTCTTAAAAGAAAGTCTAGGTACACATGTTTTAAAGTAAATCTAGCCATTCAACATATTCCTATATAGATATAAGAAGATGTGGTATGAGTGCCAATGAGACAACTCTCCATCCAAGTCAAAATTTGTAAAAGTAGACCATTATAGGTCAAAGTACGACCTTCAACACGGAGCCTTAGCTCACACCGAACAGCAAGCTATAAGGGCCCCAAAAAATGACTAGTGTAAAACCATTCAAACAGGAAAACCAACGGTCTAATCTATATAAAACACGAGAAACTAGAAACACTAGTGAACCACATCAACAAAAGACAACCACTGAACATCAGGTTCCTGACTTAGGACAGGTGCAAACAATTATGTTTTTTGTTCAATTTGAAGAAGCATATAACTTAAAAGAAAAGAAGATGCTACTTTCCACATTGCCAATTTTATTGGGTTTTTTTCTAACCCCTTTGATTAATCCGGAATAAAACAGCAGATAGTGATGTCGTGTGTTTTGATTTATATATTATAATGCTTTCAGATGCAGAATTGTGAATCTGATAAGGAGGCAAGAGAAATATATTCATCTGTTATAGATATTGCTGTTGATGCTTGTTTCATAGTGCCGCTAACATCCTTCACAAAGTGTCATGTGAAACAACTTAAAGCTGCTTTTATTGAAAACCAAATTTCAAGCTGCAGGGATGAGCTTGACCAGTTCATTAAAGGTTTGTTAATCACTGGAATTAAAGCAGATAACACGCTTGATTATTTACAACCATTCAATTTTCTTTTATCAGATCGTCTTTCTACCATGCGCTTAAGTTTTTTTCTGAAATGTTGCATCCGATTTTTGTTTACTTTTCACATTTAATTTATAGTTTTCTCTTCTGAAACTGTTGGGCTAATAGAAGCTAAATTTGTAAGGATATTTTGTAGATGGTTGTCTTTTCATGGGGATCCAGCCCCAGAGAAGGCACTTTAATTTTACGTTCTGATATTGTTTATGACGAAATTATCATTACTGTAACGAATTGAAATATTTGAAATATAAATTGAGAAAAAAAGATGAAGGAAAATCATTTTCTCCGGAAATTCCTATAACTGTATATGTAAGTGTCTTTTTGAAGAAGGTGAGGAAAGTGTTGTGTAAATTTAAATTGTGGTAAATTCACTGAAAATAGCTACACTCATATACGACAATAAACAAAAATATATGGAAGACGTCCGTCCGTCCAGAGGCCTTAGATAAACAAACTGTCGTAAAAGCTTGAGTGGCTTCTATTACAGGACATGATGTATTTTTCTATCTTCAGCTTGATAATGTAGAGTTGTAATGTGTGAGAATTTCATACTTTAACCGTGCTTCAACTTACAGTTTGACAATAGTTTAAAACTTTACAAAACTCCTTGTACACTGACATTTTTCGTCAAACCTTTTCTGGCTTCTATCAAAGCAAAATAATTGATACATGATATAGAGCTTGATTATTTTCAGTTGTAGCGTGTCAGCAGTTTTCGTATGTGCAATGCTGCCACATCCTGTTTTCCTACTTGTTTTATAACACTCATTGTACAAGGAAAACGTTCTTTATTTATATTACATCAATGAAAGTACTTTATTCAAGTCCAATTTGAAAATTATCTTCATCAGTATTGCTTCAGTACACATATTACCTTAATCAGTTATATACAGCAAAGCAGATCTAAACCCGGTCTTATTGATATCAGAACTACATTATTTCTAAATAAACAGAAAACTGGAATGTGTCAACATACATTTATTTTCTATCTAATAGGTTTAGATACACATCGAGTCCTGAGCCTGCTACGTCAGACAGAAAACATGGCATCAGCAAGATGCTTATTCAGTGGTAGAGTGAAACCTTTAACTGTTAGTCAATTGAGGGAACTGATAAGATTTAAATATAAAGAGGGCAATGCTAAATTTGCCCAGATGGCCACTGCACAAGGATTCCTGACATTCCTTCAGGCCACTAAGGGTAAGTTTATTTATTAGGCTTTTTCATTTTCTCATTGAATTTCCTATTAATAACTCATAAGAAACACAAATTTCAGTCTCTTCTCTATACAAAACATTATTAAAATTAATAAAATATCAGATGAAAACAACAGATATGCAATAACATCTAATCAAATTTATGTTAAACGGTCAAGAATTCATATTAAGCTAGTGTACCCCTTTGCTTCCGACGTTTCCTGCTCACGTCTTAATCTTTTTGTAAAATAATTGCTGGACAAAATGATATCAAACTCTGAAGCCATGTACAAGATACAGATCCTTCGTGAAGACTGAATGCAAATGTGCAATGGACTCCATAAGAAATATGCTTTGAAATTCATATGAACAGTCTTACTTTTGCATGTTTGTCTTAGACATTCCCACTACACTTAATCAATGATCACAATCCTTTTCTTTAACCACATTATGTTGTATCGTGGAAAAGAATCGATCAAAAACTATGTTGTCCCGTATCAAAATTTCGCTATAAATAAAATTTTCGCATTGATGCTCTTCAACATAACATTTACTATTTTCTAATTATAATTGTATGATAAAACCAAAAGCTAACATAAAATTAATGTGATTAATGATTCTATTTTTCGTCCAGAAATATACAATCGTTTATACATAACATAGTGAAAAGTTTAAAACTTTCTTTTCTATGAATATAACAAGACCGTGTGATATACAGTAAATGTTTTCAATAAGAAAAATAACTAATCACAATCAAGTCAGGAATTAACTTGCAAGAAACTAACCAACGTATTGTGTCAAAACAGTAGATAATGTAACTTTATTTTAGATAATAGGTGCTGGTTTTCCTATAAAACTGAATAATTAAGGAGGACTTGAATGCCTTTGAAGCATGCAGATTTCTATTTATCATCAATATTGTGTTATGAATTGAGTAAAATTTGCATTATAATATTTTGTCTTTTTCTCTAGGAACTGCAACTATCATCAATGGGATAAATTTACAACCGAAGGACGTTCTGATGTGGTTGACTGGATCTACTATTGTGCCAGCCATAGGATTCCATAAACCTATCGATGTAGATTTTTCTCGTACAAAAACTTTTGTAAATACATGTGCCCTGGTCCTAACATTGAAGACACAACCTGATCTATCCTCAGGAGATGCTGTGTCATATTATACTGAACTCATTATCAACAGTCAAACTTTTACAAAACAATAATAAAAAGAAATCATGTTGCATGTACATTATGCAAAATTGACTATTGATGTAGTTTATCAGATCAAGATTATAAGCGCTAATTCTAAAGTACCATTTTCAACCCTGAAATTTATCTTCCGCTTCATATATTTTGTCACAAGACATGAGAAACAATTCAGACTGAAATGAAGATTTCCAGGAATGATACTGACTCAATGCAAAACCGGGATAGGTGGTACGGTGACAGGTATTTCAACTAAATAGTAAAATGCTAGTAGAGATTTTGAAATTTCATACACTATACATTTGTAGATTTCCAGAAGTAAACCGTATTAGACGAGTATTTTCTTCAAAATTCTATTTTACAAACTAACTTTTACTGAATTTTTCCTGAAGTTCTGGTCTTGAAACCTGTATCATCGAAAAATTCTAAATTTTTATCTTAAAGCATTCTCGTGTTTCGTTTCTTTTATTGACCGCTACCTACCCCGAAAACATTCCAAACATTGCTAACAAGACACCAAAATGAATATTGAAAACGTTGAAAACGTCATCGATTGGAGTATCGCTGACATTGACACCTTGCTACTTTGCAACACGCTTCCCGGTAATTAATATAACTTATCAACTGAACGGCAAACGATTTAATGGCTTCGAAGGTCAAGACATTGGTCACGTGACAAAAGGTCAGAGTTTACGGTTTTTTTGTAAACGTGCATGCCTCGTGGTTTTTTACAGTGTTCAAACATTGAGTGTATAAGCTTTATTATTCTGTATATTTATTGCTAAAAAGTGTTGTTTAAGTATTCTAAAATGACGCGTGGAGTGAAACTTTTTTTCTGAAAATATGCGAAGTCCACGGAAAATCCCAATTCATTCATTAAATAGGTATGGTAACATGTGCAGGGGAATAAAATACGAAGTAAAACGATTTTTTTTTTTTGGGGGGGGGGGGGGGGGGTATTTTAGTTATAATTGACTCCAAATATATCGGACACGCAATTGTGTCAGCTTATTGGTGGCGAAGTTGAGATCAAAGGGAGATAACTCCGTACACGCAACGTAGGAAATTGCAAGTTCACAACAGCAAATTCGAGTAAAAGTGATGATTGCAATTATATTTCGGCACTTTTTTTAAATTACTATTCCAAACTTCATGTTCCTTCACATTTGTAACTGAACAATATTCATGGAATGGTTGAATATGGCATGTTTTCATGTAAAAACAGGTTTTTGGAACTTCTCATTATAAGAAGAAAATTATTGATAACTTACTTTCCTCTGTAAATTACTCTCTCAAACACCATTTTGATTGATGGAATGATACAAGTCTTTGTTTCGCTTTCTTAGTATAAATATTCTTAGAAAGAATAGGAAAATAAACTCTGTGTTTGTACATGTACCTTGTTTAAACATTTTTTTTTATATTTATTTTACTTTAAATTAAGACTTCAATTAAATAAATTTATATAAAAAAAGTATCTTAAATAGAAAGTTTTTACTCTGGTGCACTAAAAACTTTGCATTGGTAGTGAGATTTAACAAAGTTATTTAGATTGATGAACTTAAAGATTCTTTGACTTTGTATGCTGAGCATTTAAAAAAAACATGGTGGTATAATACTTTCTAGCACAGCATCTATTGTGAACAATATTTCTTTCCTAGAGACATTTTATTTTCAAGATGTGAGGCTTGCCGAGCAATCTACGTATTACAAATTTCGCTGTCAAGAATGGAGAAATAACGTATTGATAGAAATTCTGTATGTTAGCAAACTAGCTTTGTTTTTCAATGATATACAAAGAAATGTATTGATTCAGTACTTGCTATGTGACATCGTTGATAGTCAGGGGATATTGGTAGCTCTTTTACTGATGTAACAATAGCAAATTCAGAGGAAAGCTAGAACCTTTCAGCCGATCCAGGATTTTTGACAGAACAAATATCGTCGATTTCATGCAGAAAAATTAATATTTTCTAATCAAGGGTTGGGATGGGGGTCGTATGCCCTCAATGACCCCTTAATCCATCACTACATTTGAATTGCTCATTGCATTTTAACCAATAAAAAAGTGATATCAAACGCAAAATGTTGATTATAAAAAAAATGATCAGGGTCAGAGAAAGTATTCAACCTAGAAACACGTCCACCGTTTTTTTTTTTTTTTTTTTTTTTTTTTTTTTTTTTTTTTATGCAGGACCAGTGCAGCTTCCACTTGCGATCCAAAAAGAGAAATTAGTACATGGCTTTGTGTAATATCCAGTTATGTTCTTGTTTCATCAGCAAAACTTGTGTTACAATATAATATAATTTTCCATTATAATAAAATACAATATGGAAAAACTGCAAATGTACATGTAGACAATACATGCTTCAAAATTGTGAACATTGATATTGAATGGAAAAAAGATTATTTGCAGTGGACAGAATGTTAGCATTTTTATTATACCTGCTTTAAGGTTAGAAACGATATCAGATGTACAAGTTATGCTGTACTTGCTCTAAATAAAATAAGAGAAAAAGCCAAAAATGGATATAAAACATTATAATCAATGCAACGAAAACTGAACAAAAAGCTGAAATGCAATATGATATAATACAGTTCACATTATTTCTCTCGATACAAGTTTGTGATTTTTTGTTCTTGAATTTGAATTCAAAAGTTAAGTTTCAACAAATGAAAAGATTTCTTTAATTAAATCGTTGATTGAATAATGAATGAGGTTTAGGTGAGTAAATAGTCTGAATATCTTTTTAGAAATAATAAAGTGTAAATTGTGTAATAGAATTTACTGAATCAACTTCAAATTTAATCCAAATTCATATTTAACTGCGCTAAAAGGCAAAGGCAATTGAAAAACAAATCTGACATGAATACTGTAAATTCAGAAATAATTGCGTGCATTTGCCATTGCAATTTTTGAAAAATAGCAAAAAGTGCCCGATTAATTATTGAGATTTAGGCAAATCTGCATAGTATCAGATATCAGAATGCGAGTTCTTATTATTGCGATAATCACCAAGTCGCAGTATTTGCATTTATAACCTCACAATAATTTCTGAATTTACAGTATTATTATTTTTGTCAAACTCTGCGCTTTCTACGTTTCCTTGGCCTAAATGTGGTTGAAATACTGACATTTTTGCTAACTTTCACCTGAAATCTCTTTTTTAGGTCCACAACAAAATTAGATTATTACTATCTCAGAAAAAACGTTGAATACAAATATATATGTATAAGATCATCATATCCGAATGCTAGTTTGTATTATTGCAATACTTAAAAAGTTATTATACGCATTAATAAAAAACATTAATATTTGTTGAATTTGCAGTTCATTTTTAATATCCTAAAATATTAATCTGGAATCAGTACATGCATTGTATATTTGAAATTGGGGAACTTATCAAAATGAAATGTTGACACATAACAGTGGACAATTACAAACATTGTGACATCAGTTATACAACCAAATTTATTGTATAATCTGAAATCTTAAAATGACAACATGTAAATCATTGCAGAGTTATTTTCTTCAAATGATTGAATGTTTGTTAGTCATCTACTTCAAATAACTAATACTTAAATAAGGAGATGTGGTATGATTGCCAATGAGACAACTATCCACCAGAGTTCAAATAATGTGGCTGTTAGCAATGATAAGTCAGTTTACAGACATCAACATTGAACAAAACCGGTACATTGGTTTTAGGCAGCATATTAAAAAGATGAGTTGTGGCTTGTTGGCTTTCCAAGGGGTGGCTTCCAAGGGGTACTCTAGACATTAATAAATAAGAATAAAAGGGGGACAAGAAAAGACAGGACTTAGCCGCTGTTTTATATATGAAGTGCCCCGTTACTAAGCATTAGAGGAGCTGCTCTATGCTTAGAAAAGAAAGATGTTGATGACTTAGCCAGAGCGAGCAGAATTTTGAGACATACAAATGTGATGCAGGGACACTAGGCAAATCTGCCGGCTTGTTTGTGTGCTGTGTTTGAAGTATAAACGACCCATCAGCTTCATAAACAAGAATTGTTTGCTAGGAGAGACATTTAAACATGTCGATATACTTTATAAGTTTTATAAAAATTGTAATTATTGATGTTATTACTTTTGTATGCATAGAAATATAATGAAGATAACATTGATTTTTAGCGTAAAACATTCAATACACAACATTCCGGAGATGTACACATCAAATACATCCTACTTTTGTAACGATGAATTGTAACGTATAGCCACTTATATAACAGTAAATGTCATTGAATAAGCTACCAAAAACAATCAATAATTTGCAAATTCATGGCAAGACACGCAATCGTGTCAGCTTTTGTTTTGATGGAAAAATGTAAATATAGGAAACCGCCATTTTGACATAGGAAACAAACTCATTTCCAATTTTTTACATACGGGTACTTTTTGTGTCGACAGATTGACCTTAATCTGTCAGATTCATGCGTTTGCCTTCAGCTGTATGTGCATATTCCTCACATTTCAGCAATAATGTAAAGCTCTTTGAAGAAATCACTCCTTTTCTACATAATATTTGCTTTAGAATGCTCCCATCAGGGTTGTTTTAAAATGATTATCAAAAAAGTAACACCGCTCTATTTCGAGGTTAATTTCGAGAACGTATAATAAGATAAATCAAAAAGATTAGTCCTAAAATCAACAGATGTTCTAAAAATAATCGACTGAAATTAATTTGACAACCTAAATAAATCGAGAACTTACACTGTAACAGTAATCGGCAAGAGAGAAAACATAAAAAATGTTTACGAATACTCCATGACATACCACAAAAAAAACATTTGAAAAAAATGTTTTATTCCTTTTAAGAGCTGTACAGAGAATAATTCTTTTCAATATATGATATTTTGTCTTATTATATCTAACGGAAATCGATGATATTGTAATCGAATGCAGCAAAACTACTCGTAAAATACAGTCCTTAAAATCGAAATTATGCCGAATGGAATCAAAATACAAAATTCAAAGTATCAAGTTGGAAGAAACTTATACACGATTCAATTACCATGAACTTCGAAAGTTTCGAAAACGAGGAAGATATCAAAAGAAAGTACTTTTTTAACAGAAAGACGAAACACTAAAGGTGACTGGAGAATAGAAGTACGGTCACTCTTTGTCTCCATCTGACCAGCATTAAAACATTTGCCGAAGTGAGGCATGTGTGATGCACAAGTACACAGTCAAGTCCGGTCAGCATGAATTGGGACGTAAAATCTGATGCATCGTGTAGAGAAAGTGCCATGATCTCTGCACGATAAGAACCCTTGCAAGAACACTTTAAGGGTCCGTTGCCAGGCAAAAGTTTGTTCCCTATCCATTTTACACTCATTTTCCAGTGGCAGTCCAAATTTCTCCTTCAACCCGGACGGCCTCTATTTAGGACCTACCTATTTTATTTATTGTTTATTTGGTTTGGTCCTAAACATGCATGCAATATTTGCAATTGGACGTTAAACAACCAACAGTCACGCAATCAATCAGTAAGCCGAAATAAAGAAACTGAAACTGGACACAAACATAATTGTAGAAGCAGAAAAAAGAAGACAGTAAAATACTTGACTTACTGTAACAAGCAAAATAATGAATTAAAACAAAATTATTTAAAACAAAAACAACTTAAATTAAAACAACCAAAGAACCCCGAAAGAAATATGAACATTGCTTGTTTAATGGAACAGTTGGCTGCTTCTTAATGGAAAAAATTCAAATGATACATTTTCTAATGAGAAGTATCATCCAGCTCTCCATCAAGTTGTTCAAAACTTGCATTCTTTTGGTGTCGGATTAAAACATATTGGCCAAACTATCAACTCAGTACTAGAGCATTTGTTGGGGGTTGATGCAAAAAGCAAATTGGTGAAAAATTGCTATAGGGTAAAAAATCAAACACATTACATTTTAATGGTACAACTGATGCATACGCCCTCTACGCCACCTTACCCCCGAATCCACCACTTTACATTGCATGGGTACATGCACATGTAAATGCTTTAAGTATATTTATTAAAGGAACAATGCTTTGATTGTTTCATTCCATATTGATGATTAAACACAAAAATGTCAAGTAAGAACTGAAAAACAACAAATTAGATAGATAAACAAGAACATAACTAAGCAAAAATGATCAAGATGACTAGATCAACAAAGAAATTTTTTTTCATGAATTCTATTCTAGTCTACCACGATGTAAATATCCAGTAAAAATTAATATGATTTTCATTTTTTTATTTTTTTTTTTTTTGCATTAAATTGGTTGCCATTGTTACGAAATTTAAATCAATTTTACTTCTCTTCACGGTAACATATTCATTATTTGCTAAAAAGATATTTGAAAGATTATCACATCAAAATTAGAAAAGATCAACAAGAAAAATGAGAAAAAAAATTAATTACTTGATTTTCTTTAGAACATAAAGCCAAGTTTCATATGTTTCATCATTTTCAGTGACAAAACTAAAAAAAAAATTGTTTGACTATACATGTTTAAATTGTGACTTTGACATTTTCTCTTTTAAAGAATTACTTTAAATGATACCGGTTTAGTATTATTTGATGCAAGTGAAATCATATTAGAGATAGTTTTCAAGACTTCAGATTTAAGTCATCATAAATGTTTCATCCTAAAAAAAAATGATTTTTGTTATCTACCTACCCACGTGCAGGAACAGTAAAGATTTTCCTTATTTGACCTACGATTGAAGAAAAGTACACGTGTAAAATGTCTTACAATGGAACATTTGTCAAAATAAACAAAAGCTTTTTATTAATTTTTGTTCTGTTCCAATAATATTTGCAACTTTTATTTGTATTTAAAAATTGAAACAATTCCTGGTCTAAGTAGTCGAACTACTGTATGACTAGCCTGTCAACACTGAGGTTGTGAGTTGGAATCCCGCACGTGGCAGGTGCGCTCGACTCCAATCTTAATTAACTATGATAGTCAGTTTTCCTAACAAAGTTCGGTGGTTCTCTCCGGGCACTCCGGCTTTCTCCGCCGATACAAACTAACCATCACGACATAGCACAATAGTGTTGAAAGTGTCAATCAATCAATCAATCAATCAGTCAATCTATAATATAGATGAGCACTGATGAATTTAATGATAAATGAT